CTTTTCCCACTGCATTCTAGACTGGCATGAACCGAGGCACTTTATGGCATGTTTGTTTTATTTATCTTTGTTGTGTTGAGTAGGTTACATCTGTAAATTTCTTCACTTCAACATTTAATGACAATTTTACGAGTTTTAATAAAATGTCATTAAATGACAATTTGAAGACAAATGACGGCATGGATATTTGAATGGTAATTTTAAAATAAAAAATCCATACAGTGCTGTAGAATATTGAACCAAAATATTGTGATATATCAGTGTAGCGATATTTTCTTACACGCCTAGCGCCTTGTAATAAGTTAAAAATACATAAAAGGTGTTTGTCTGTTTATCTCACTTATTAACAGTGTCTATGATTCTGGGGTTAAATCTCTAGGGAAGACTCACTGACCCGTCTGGAAGGTCCCAGATTTTTTTGCATGATCCCTGAGTATTAAATTTAAGGCCACATAGCATTTCTGAGCAGACATGCACTGTGTCCATGTATCTAATCACTATTCCACATGGTGGTTTCTGTTTTGGATTTGTTGTGCGTTCAGTGTTGTGACTGTGACAAGCTCAGCTGTTTGTCAAATGTGCACTGCAGTGCGCAGACTACTTTTAGCCTGCAGCTTTAAACTGCATCCAGTGACAACTCTGTCACCTGTGCTGCAGCCCTGGCAACCGAACCCCATCACACTCTCACTTCTAAATACACAAGACACAACGTGCGGATCATTTCTGTGGCTGTCTCAGCAAATGCCCAATCCAGTCGTTACGTTCAGGCTGAGAAAGGGTATTAGCATAGATGTGGCAATGCTGAAACCATTGGCAAATGTCAGCAGCTGCTTTGCTTCCCCACTCATGAACAAAGTGTGACACCAGTGCAGGTTGGAGGAGGTACAATTACAGTAGAGGTTCACACTTCACATCAGGTTCTCTTGACATAATGATCTACAGTTTATATATATATAGTCTTATACAGTATATACAGTACACACGTATTTCTCATGTACCTGTGTACATTATTATGTCTTTTGGTTTTAATATAACAATATTTTTGATCCATCAGTGTTATATGATTTTTTTTTTAATAAAACTATTTTTACACGTAGCACTGCCATTCAAGGTTGACTTGAAATCCCAATTATTTTATATGAATATTTATTACTTCGGGAAACACATTTATTGTACACAATTAACACCAGATGTGGCTGGCCTATGGATACCATCTGTGGCTCAGAGACCTTTAACAACCTCATTATTGAGAGGTGTCTTTGCTTTCAGAGCTGGATTATAAGCCCCATGTTGATGTTGTGTCTGCAGGCTATAGCCAGTTGTAAGATGTTCTTTAGAAGAAGGTATGTGGTTTGTTAACTTGAATTTACCCTTCCTGGAAACAGAGACCTCCTGTAGAGTCCTAGCCTCACATTGGTTCCACTGAACAGGTGAAACAAATACTTGAACATGTGCAATTCTTAAAACTTGTCTGTTCCCAGTGCAGTGGTTTAATGTCTGGTTTTGTTTGTAAAGTGAAAGTTGAAATGTTTCTGGTGAATATTTCATGGTAAGTTCAGATACCCACAGCTTTTATTTCTACTGATCCTTAAGTGTAGAGCAAGAAAAAAAAAAAAAAAAACAGAACGCAGTGTGCTGCATCCTCCTCTTCTGTGCCAAGTTGATGTTGTTATGGCAACTACACTCTGTTCCCCTACCTGTTACCATGGCTGAGATAGACGGATTGATGACGCTGTTTATTAGGCAGCCAAGTGTATCTGTGCCATTTTAAGTCCAGGATATGGCTGTGATGAGAATGTTCACTATTCATGTCTAAAAGCATTCATTTCAATATGCTTTAATTGTAAGATAATGTTTTCTAATTAGTCACTCGTCATGGCTCAGCAGTATGGTCTTTGCTAATTTGTTTTCAATATTATTTACTATGATTTGATGTGCACAAATGTAAAGTATATTAATGGGTCATGTTTTATTTTCATCAAATGAGTTTGTGCGTTGGATCACGTTAAAAACAACATTATCAGTAAAACCACAATTTCCTGAATTAAGTAACTCTTAAATAAATTAGATGTTTTGTGTGATTTGGTTAAACAGTTAACTTTAAAATTTGAGCTAGAGAAAATATTCTTGCCACTGTATGTGTAGCAGACAGGAGCACTGATGACTGACGAAGACAAAACTGAACAGAGGAGCTTGATCACCAGCGAAGTACAGGTGTTAGGTTTACTTGTTCTGTGACTTTAACTGACCAGTCACTCTGCAAAGTGTGTAAATCACGCACCAGACATGATCAGAGCAGGTGTACCTGAACTCTCTTTCTGCTGCACTCTGATGTAACAACTTATTTCTTTTAATGTACCACAACTACTGCTTTTACTCCATTCTGACTCATTTAATGACTTAAAAACGTTCTAGAAAAATACCCTAAGACTTTATAGATACATATTTGTTGATTGTCATATAAACCATGGATATGGCACTAGCTACAACTAGAATGTACTAATATTAACTTGTTTGGGCTAAAACAGTGGTTCATCATTTGTCTATAGTCAACGCCTTATGTTCACTATTACCCTGTGCTGCTCACATTGTGAACCAGTGTGAAAAAGTGATGTCTAGCAATTTGATGCTTTTGGCTCCCTCTCATCTTGTTGTTCAAAATATATATTCAAAACAGACCTTGTAGCAATACTTCAAATGTAGCCTAGATCAGGAAACCCACAGATCTTAGCAACTTGCTCAGCTGCCACATAGGGGTAAGACAGTTGAAAATGGTGCTTGTTCAAATCATAATCTACAAGTATGTGAGTCATGCTGAAAATATATGGGTTGCTCCTGTTGGGCTGATATCATCTCAGAAGACGGAGACAATATTCACCTTATTTTACCTCAGACAGTCTGTTAGCAGCTGCTATTTCAGCAGTTATGTACATTGCTGCCACCCACATTTTGAGGTGGCACTACACTTTGTGCAGATTTTGAATCAACCCTTAAAAAAACCCTCACATCAGAGACACCTAATGATGCTCACAAAGCATTGCTCTCAGATTAGAGGTGTGGTAAGTCTGATGAGTCAGACTTTGCTTGTCGTGAGCATGATTCTCCTGTACATGCTGAGCACTCTGCAGACTGTTACATTACTCAACACGTCAACGATTATTTTTAATAACTTGCTTATTGGTTTTATTATTTTAATTACCCACAATAATGTAAAAATGCACATATTTCTTTGTCCGTGTGACTCTTGATAAGCTCATTACCAAATGAGACACTGAAAGATGTCAAAATCAAACACAGCTGTTATCTGTTGTACAACTTGTTTTGTTCTTCTTTATCCTGCTTCCCTGAATCTCTCACACGTTGCGCCGTGTCACCATCCATTTACAGTACTTCTACTGCACATGGTGGATTAGAAGTTACCCCCTCATTAATAGCCACAGTAGATTTTTCCAGGAACGGGGAAATATAGGGGTACTGGTAACCTAAGACCCCCTTCATTTCCTCCTGCCCTGGCTCCAGTTTCCCTTTGGGGGCAGGTCAGAGGTGAATTTGGGCTTTATATAGCCACCTGTTCTGCTGTATCCTTTTCCAGTGCCTGATATGGTTGCTGCTCTGGCTCCAACTGTAAATAAATCGGACCAGTTTTTCAGGATGTTCAGAAAACATAGCATAGTTGCATAGTATAAAATCTATGTCAGGTTGTTCTTTTAAAAAAAAAATCACCTCAGTTCAGTAAGTCGTTATAATCATTACATATTCAGCAAGGCGCAGTGTGTGTCCTGGCGTCCGAGGACACGCTGTGCTTTTCTGTCAGCGTGTGACCCGTGGAGGGCGATATGCAATCCCTGTCTCTCCACATCTCCTGAATTATTGATAAATATGCTGAAATCCTCTAAATGCAGATGGCACTTGCCTGGAACATCTCCAAGCCTCTGGAGCACCCTCATGTCGAGGAGGCACAAATGGCTCTAATTTTTCTATTAGCAAAACACAAAATTAGCATGAAACAAGCTTATTGCTGCTTTGTGTATCACATCAGAGACACTGCTTTAAAAGAGTTAAACTGTTATGAATGCAGATTATTCTGTATTGTTCATTCTTAAAAGACCATTTACACATTTAACCCTCATTACCTTTTTTTTTATCAATGGCTCATTGGCTTGACCTTGAGCTTATCCTTTAGCAATGTACATGCAAGCTTCTGTCCTCAAACATATGATACACGTTTTTTTGCATTTGCCCTATCTCATAAATCAACATTAGTCAATATATGTCTATGGAATTAATGCCACCGCAATATCCTGTAACTTAATGATGGCCACCATTCTTTCCATGGAATATCCAGTGTGTGATGTGGTAAGCTCACAAATCAGTCGCATATGTTGCAGCAGAGATGGTTCAGAGGTATGACATGCCAGACATGGCTGCAAATTCCTGCTCAGTTACAAATGTCTGTATGGCTTTGGAGGATGACTGGATGGCAAAGAAATATTGTTTTATTATCACCGTTAACAGATAAAGTGGAGCAAGGTGAAGTCAGGGGACTGGGTGATGGTGTTATGAACTGAACTGGTTCTAAAGGGGCTTGTCATTTTGATGTGAAGTTGGTGCACATTAAACAAGTATGACATGATGATTTTATTTTGGAAATAAAACATAGGTTCGGTAAAAATGGAGACAACAGTTTTAGATAAAAAATAAAAATGGGAAATGACTCATAATCGTCGGTGAACCATGGGATCGTCTGGCTCAAATATATCACTGTTAGGTCAGTGTTTAAGGAAAAGGGAACTTCCAGAATGATGCTGAGGAAATTAAGTTGGAACTTGAAGTTTTAGACCTAGATTAAATTAATTGTCTCCAGAAATTATTATAATATATATAGTTAAATGTATTGTAGTGAAAGCAGAATATTGTTCATAGTATGCAGTTGTGTTACTTGGATTAATAACATGGAAGACTACAACAATGTACTAACTTCTTCTTCTTTAATTCCACAGCAATCCTAAACCCTAAAGCTCCAAAAGAACCAGCAAAGACCTTCAGTTTTGACTATTCATACTGGTCACACACCACGGTGAGTTCACCCAGTAGTAAGTCTAAAATAGACCAGAAATAGTTTTATTGCAAATTTAAGAAATATACAGTTATATGAGTAGCATAAATCGGGACATTGGCTTTGATGCTCAAACAATACTCTCTGTTGGCCACAGAGTGTCCCATTTACTTCAGACAATATAATGTCACTACACATGATTTAACCTATAATTCTCATATTTATCTAATTGTGAAAAGCATTGTCATTTTTTTTTCTGTCTTTTCTACAGCCAGAAGATTCCAGCTTTGCATCACAGAACCGTGTGTACAATGACATTGGTAAAGAAATGCTGGAACATGCATTCGAGGGCTACAATGTCTGCATTTTTGCCTACGGCCAGACAGGAGCTGGCAAATCCTACACCATGATGGGCAAGCAGGAGGAGGGCCAGGAGGGAATTATTCCCATGGTGTGTCCTATTGCTAACAGTACACACAATATCAGAGCTGCAGCTATTATTGTTGTAATTGATTAATCTATACACTATGTTCTTAGATTTTCTCCATTTAATATGCAGTAACATGTTTTCTTTTTTCTCCCTCTTAGCTTTGTGAAGATTTGTTTGAGAAAATAAATGAAGGTTCCAACAAAGAAGAACTCTCTTACTCAGTAGAGGTGAGTCTCAGTTGGTGTAAGCCTTTGGTGCCCCCCCCACCCCCCATGGTCAAGCTAGCTTATCAAGCTTAGAACAGGTCTCAGAAATGTGAAATTATCTTATTAAGTTCATTAAATTGTAACAATTGTGATTTTGTTTTTCTAGGTCAGTTACATGGAGATCTATTGTGAACGGGTGCGGGATTTGCTGAACCCTAAGAACAAAGGAAACCTACGGGTACGAGAACATCCTCTACTGGGCCCCTATGTGGAGGATCTGTCAAAGCTCGCCGTCACCTCTTACACAGACATCGCTGACCTCATGGATGCAGGCAATAAAGCAAGGTCAGCCCAGCTCCAGAATTATGGAAGAAAAACACAGTAATAGGAGCAACAATAGCAGCCATGGTGAAATAATCCTGATAAGGAATTATTTGCCATGATTATTAGTCCACGAGTTTCTCCAGTTGTCATAAATCAGTATATTGAACTAAACCCTGTTGACTGAGTAACATTAATGTTCTTGAGTGCATATGATGTTTGCATACAAGTCTGTATGTTTTACTGTGTATGCATGTTTGTACTTGTGTCTGCGTGTGTATTTTTATGTGTGTCTGTGTGTGTGTGTTTGCGCGCCAAGTATTGAGAGATCCTTTGGGGAGGAGTCAGCACTGCCTTAATCTTCCTCTGCTGACTCAGAAGGCTTATTTCTAGAACATGCCATGTAAACCCTATATCTCTCTTGTGCCTGCTCCTTTGAGCCTGCCTGGTGTATTTGTGTTAGGTGTCTTTTATTATAAACCTCACGAAATAATCCCATAGACAAAAAAATTTCTTCAAAGATGTTAAATCTAGTGGTGTTAACACTAGTAATACAGAAGCCATTAATAAATAATGAGTGAAACGGTAACATTTGCACTACTCTATTCCCTTTAACTGTGGTTTATGTTCACCTGCAGAACCGTGGCTGCCACAAACATGAATGAGACCAGCAGCAGGTCCCATGCCGTCTTCACCATTGTCTTCACACAGAAGAAACATGACAGTGAGACAGACCTCTCCACAGAAAAGGTCAGATTAAATTAATTTTGATGGTTAAATTACATACAGTATATCCTCACACTCTGACGCCCTGACAGTTTACTTTTTTGATGTTGGCTAAGATATCCACTGTACATCTGTGGTCTTCCAAGCCGTGGATGGCTGTGAGGGGTATTTTAGTTTTGCCTTTAAGCATTTCCTCTGTCTGCAGGAAGACAAAGACAGCTTTGTTATTGTAAACATAATGACTATTGTACAGAGCCATAGTAAAAGCTGCTCTGTTGCACCCCACTTGACAACTGTTAAAATGGCCTTTACGTCCTTAGCTTCATTGTAAGATATGTGAATGTTTTAGAGAATGCTGTATTTTTAAATTGTGCTGTTGTCACAATCTAAGAAGAAATCTGCAGTAAGAAATTTAATGATGTACTAGATGATATCTAATGATGTCCTAGAGACAAATTATTGAAGGAGCTCCAGTCACAGAATTTGTAAAATTGTTATAATATCCCAATTAAAGTAGTTTTCCAACTACTGTAGGCACTTGGATTATAAATTAGTGATGGATTGGTTATTAAACAATTGATGATTTTTAGTGTTTGAGAAAGAATGTTTTTATCTGCGATAAAGTAATTATTGGCTAAATGTTCAGTTAAACCAGTTTTCTCCTTTTTTTACTTGAACCCATCACAAATTAGTTTTCCTACATCTGTTATACTGTGTTGCAAATACAGAGGTAATGTTAAAAAGAATAATTAGTTAAAAAAACCCTTAAATATTGCATTCTTATGTCCTTGCATAACATATGGAATGTATTTCTTTCTCCCTTTCTTATAGGTCAGTAAAATTAGTCTTGTAGACCTGGCAGGAAGTGAACGAGCTGATTCTACTGGAGCAACAGGCACCAGGCTAAAGGTACACTTTTCTTTAAATATAAAAAAGTGCTTTATTTATTGAACTATGGCTGTTACATATGTTTTTGTCTGTGGTTACAGGAGGGAGCAAACATCAATAAATCACTCACCACTTTAGGAAAGGTCATCTCTGCCTTGGCTGAAGTGGTGAGTATTCCATGTACTGGATGTTTCTATTTCCTTCCTTCTTCTTCTCTTTCTACCAGAGTATCATCTCTACTCTGTAACTTGATCACGTTTGCTTGAGGAAGAAATGTTTTTAGCCAGGCATTGCTGTAATGTCTGCCTGTATGTTTTCTCTTCCCTTGTCTTTAATGCTTGCCTGTGCAGGATAACTGTACCAGCAAGGTAAACGGTTTTTACAGCTCGACTGATAAACCACTGATTCTTCCCATGATGCAAATGTAACAAACCATTGTATCCATGTGCCCTGTTGGAGCCATTTTAAGTCATGATTAATTATAACACAGGATTTTGAAATGTTGAGTTAATATTAATATTTTCATTTTACATCTTAATATCATGTGTTCTTGCTGCATATTCATTTAAACTGCCTTAAGCTGAGGTCATATGAATCTGTTGACGATGTGTTTAGTCATAATATAAATATAAAGAAAGAAAAAATAATTCCTTTGCTTCATTTACTCTTTAAAATGACTTCCATAAAACTTCAATTTTTGAGTTGTTTCATTCAAGCCTGTGCTTCACAGCGACATCCAGTAGAGCCACTGCCACTTTTTTTTTTTTCAACTACAGAGCAAGAAGAAGAAGAAGACAGACTTCATTCCATACAGAGACTCTGTCCTGACATGGCTGCTAAGAGAAAACCTGGGTATGAGAACAAGGACAAATGTCCTAGACTTGTAAAATGCATTAATGAAGACTTAATACAAAACTGGATGAGAATTAACCTGGAAAAAAATCTCTATGTCGTGATTTGAATTAAGTGCATATAAAAGGACGTCTGGAGCTACTGTGCACATCACTCTCTTCCAATTTAAGAAGAGCTTCGTCAGCAGACTGTATTTCAGACAAACTAGACAAGTGCACCCAATGATGGGCTTCCTCTAGTGGAAGAATTATTTCCAGGCTTATTTCTGTCTGAGCTAAGACATGCTGTACATATAAGAAAGGTCTTACATTTGAAATATCCTGCATCTTGTTTGCTTTAGAAGTGCTTTTCTTTACCACATGTACCAATTAATAATAATATGAATAAAGTTGGTCTTGTTGGTGTCTTTAAGCAAGAATTGTTAAAATATGAAATCTTTGTCCTCAGGTGGAAACTCCAGAACCGCCATGGTTGCAGCCCTCAGTCCTGCAGATATCAACTATGATGAAACTCTCAGCACACTTCGGTAATATTCATATTTTAGAGTTTACATATCTTTTTTTCCTTAAACATCTAATAAATTAGGCTGGCATTTAATGTTTTTGAAAATTTTTAGCTATGCTGACCGGGCCAAGAACATCAAGTGCAATGCTGTCATCAATGAAGATCCTAACAATAAACTGGTGCGTGATCTGAAGGATGAAGTGGCTCGTCTGAAGGAGCTGCTCCACGCCCAGGGCCTGGGAGACATTCTGGACAGTGAGTTTAATGCAGTCAAAGCAAGCCGTATGTAAAGCCACACAGCTTCTACCTTTACTCCTGGGGCACATTGCCAACATTCGATGTCATCAACGCTTTACTTTCAGTCATTCAGCTTTATCTTCATGACAGTGCATGCATCTCTGTTTTAATTAAAACTAAAATTATGTGATTGGCTTTTGCAGACTCACTGTTAAACATACTGGTTTATTATTGCTTTTTCTAAAGAAAAATATACAGTTTATTATAACTTTCTAGTTAGTATGAAGGGAAGTGGTAACATTAACTGTAATTAAAGACAGCATCACTTAATTTGCTGTACACAAGATGAATGGCATATACTCTAGTCAATTAGAGACATAATATACCTATTTATAACATCTAATTTCTGAAGTGATAAATACCCTGCCTAATAGCTCATGCTTATGAGACTGTACCTAATGACGTGGCACCTAACCAGCCATTACATGACACGTCTTCACATCCTTGTCTTGTCTTTTCATGCAGCCATCTAAAAAATGTCTGTGACCTTTTCCTACCATTCTATTGATGCTAATTCTCTGACCCCTCTCATCTTTTCCTGCTTCCCCTCAGTTGATCCAATGGGGGATGATTACCCAGGAAGTGGAATCAAATGTGTGTATACGTGTGATAGCCGTGCATTGTCCATTAATTATAATAGTAAACATTGCTTATACCCCCCCATATGTCTGTATTTTTAATCTTACACAAGCTTTGCATGTTAATCCTTATATTGCAAAAGCTGTAAAATATGTAATCCAGTGTTTCCTACTTATTGACAAGATTGTGGCACTGTGCCATAGTCAAATATGCCTTGTTATAGTGTCATGGGGGACAAATAGGATTTTCCCTTGTGCAAAACATTTTGCTAAAATGTTGGGTTCAATGTCATTGATGCAATATTTCTCAGTATTGTGGCTTTAATAGTGCATTTATGTGATAAAATAGTGCGAAATAGGCCTAACCTACTCGAATCTCACAAACATCATGACAGTAACACAGCTACACATCTGAACATGGCCATTTTAGGAAAACTGCTAACATGTATAAACTCTTTTTTGTCCTACGTACTACTGTAAGTCCTATTTACTATGACTGATTGTTTGTTCCTATGGTTCAGTAGGTTAATGTATTCACGCTAAATATGTATAGAATTGTAGACTAGCTAGGCATGCATTTGGTCAGCTCTCGAAATTGTCAAGTCCACCCCCATATATTCTGAAACATCCTGTGGGAAACACTGGAATTTTAACAATGCAAGGCTTCATTGACATGCTTATCTGGCAAGGTTAGCATGCAGCTAGGTTATCATGCTTTGCGATTAGTTTGCGTTTACTTTTTAAAATGTCAGCAGTGCAGTTGCTCTTTTTAAGGCTCAGATTGATTTTTTACTCTTGTCCCCAATGAGTCTGAATGTTTTTTTGTTTGTACTGTGAACACACTTACTCACCTTTAGTGTCTTTTTTATAGCAGACTTTCTAGTTTTTGTTTTTTTCTTGTGTTCTCATCGTTGTTTTTTTTCTCACCGTCATATCTGCAGGTGACAGTTCTCAAATGTTTAAAATCAATTCTCACATTGAGGCACAGAACTTTAGACAAAAAGGTGCATGTTTTTTTTTTATAGAGGTCTAGTCAAACTAAGCTAACAGATATACTAAGTGTGATAGTTCCTCATAGTTACCTTTGCTAAAATAGTGTAGCCTCTGCTGAATTCTCAAAAATCCTGGATGGAATTCTTACCCTTTACCTAATATTACCCTTTTTACTTTTCATTTCATATACTTGTTAGTTTGTGTTAGTTTGACATCAGTATGCTTTCAAGTGTTTTTTACATTCTCATCTCTTTAAAGCAGGGCTGGAGCACACCCTAAATATTTAGTTAAAAGCTCAGCACATCCCCCTTTTAGTCTGAAATAGTAACAGCTAGGAACAAAGAATATTGACATTCAGGGGCTTTTCAGCATCCTGAATGTCAGCACCTCTCTTTTTTACAAACTGTGCCATTTGCTTTGCATCTTTGCTGGGCTTAGAGGACACCAAGTAAGGTTGAAGGTCCTCCAAACTCTTACAAATTCTCATGAGTTGCTTAACCTTTAGCAGGTCTGCTGTGGGTGTGTAGGCGCATGTGAATGCGTGTGTTAGAGACTGCGTTTAATGTATCAAACTACTTGAATGCAGGCTGAACATTGACAGGCTGTGTCAACCACTCTTATCTGTTCTCTCACTCTTTCTCGCTCTGTGGTTCGTCTGCAGTCTCCAGCTCTCATCATCCTGAAGTTCAAACTCTAGTTTCAGTTTTCACAGTGTTCATATTCACATCAAAGTTTCAATCAAGTGTCATCTTATAACTTAATTATCATCCTTCAACCTGGAAGGAATTTTAATTGCTCTAAATTGTACTGCTGACCTACAAAGCTCCACTTAATGTGACAACAAAGCATAAAAAATTAAATTGGGATAACGCTGTTGAAAACCACCTAGAGGGAAAAGTCCTGCTGTTGTCTGTAGTTGACTATGAAAGCTGTCTTTGACTTACAAAGTGTCTTACATTAGTCTTCCCTCCCTTTGTCTTTTCTATTTTCCCATCTTTTCTCCCTCTTGCATTTTGTTTTCCCATTTTCTGTGGTTTAATCTCCCTACCCTGCCCTGGGTCTACTTTTTCTCTCTTTGTATTTTTCCACTATCTACTATTCTGTCTCTCTTGCTGTTGGCTCAGACCTCAAAGACATTCAGAACAATAAGCATAGATACTTGGTAGCTTCAGAGAATCAACGGCCTGGCCATTTCTCCACAGCCCCTATTGGTTCCCTGACAGCCTCTCCATCCTCTGGTGCACTGTGCAACCAGGGGAGTTTGCAGTCAGTCACTAGCATCCAGGAGCGTATCATGTCCACACCTGGAGGAGAGGAGGCCATTGAAAGACTTAAGGTAAACTGGCCTTATAAAGGTACCAAAAGTCACACTCACATGGGCTAAGAACATCACCAGGCATGGTGTTTGTTTTTTGTTTTAAGTATAACAAAAGATTTAATTAGATTCAATGAAGAAAATACAAATCTCAGTAAGCATCATATGGCAACGTATAGTGTTTTTAGCCTCCACCTTAAATGAAACCACTTCTTGACTTCTGTCCTCACATGCCTTCCAGCTTAATATTTCATACACGCGCCATAGACCACAATATAATATGTGAGTGCACGGGTTTGCTGGGAGCTGCAGTTTCCATAGCAACCACGGTGCCTGATCTATCTGTTGTCCAGTGACGTCAAACACCGACGCAGATACAGAAATAAAAAAACGTAGACCAAAATAGCCCCGGTCACGTTGCCTTTAAATAGTAAGGCAAATAATATTCAGAATTCCAAGATAATTCAGTTATTTATATTTATATTTAACTAAAGGTGACCTTAAGAAGAGTACAAACTGAAGTACTGTCTGTAGTAGTAAGTCTCCGTAAGGCTTAGCTATTATACTTATTTACTACATTATTATATTTTTTATCGAAACACTGAGGGTATACAATAGCCAAATACCATACTGATTTATTTGCATTGAATAATAATAACAAAACTTTGTGATTGCTGCAACCAGACAATGTTGTCATCGACAAGTGTTCCACTGTGGGGACTGCTAATAACTGTTTAATCTTTGTTTTCTTACTCGCATTCAGGAATCAGAAAAGATCATTGCTGAGCTTAATGAAACCTGGGAGGAGAAACTCAGAAAGACGGAGGCAATCCGCATGGAGAGGTCAGTATTTACAGACCCTGTCTGTCTGTAGCTGCTACAATCATTCAAGAAGTTAATTGTGTGTCTCATATATTCTGCCGGCTTCTAACATCTTCTTACCCTGATCTTTGATATCTCAGTGCTGTGTTAGTTTTTATTGTGTGTCTCTCACATTTCCTTGATATTTAGTTTCATTTTCTCTAACTTCTTTTGTTTCAACAATGCTGCACCATCACTTTTCCCAAGTGCTTTAACACTCTTTATCTACTTGTCAATTACTCTCTCTCCAGTGAGTCTCACTGGTGACATTTAAGCACAAATTATTTTTGCTGTTACATCATACCGGTACGTCAGCTTTTTAGCCATTTATCCAAAGAACACTGTGTGAGATCAGACTCTTGTGGATCCAAGATAATATTCAGCAAGGTTTAAACCAGGGCATGGGTCTTTTTGGTTATTGCTGTGAATTGTCATGTCTGGTTCAGGTTGTTACGTTAAGTGTACAATCAATGAAGTGTTAGATTAAAGTCCTATACAAGTTGCATAAATAAAACCACTCCAGACACTCATTGTTCCATCATTGTCCAAATCCTGTCTTATTCATCAGTCTGCTTGATAGAAAGATCATCTCACTACACAGAACATGTGTGCATGGCACCAGGATCCTTTGGCAGCATGCCACACATTGCTACAGCAAATGCCTGGCATTGTGTGTGGGAATGTGTGGTTTGTATGCAGCCGTTCAGCCATGGAAACTTGTACCATAAAACTCCTAATGCAGGGTTTTGTGCTGATGTTTAGACTAGAGGTGGTTTGGAACCCTGGAGTCTGAGTCAGCGGGATGTTGGTGGCTTCTTAAAACTATGTGCCTCAGTACAAGGTGACCCCCACTTGGTTTATTTATGTGGTTTGCCTTTTAGCTACATTGCTGTGGTACCTTAACACTTACACTTAACAATAAAACTAGGTGCAGTTGATTTTACGTCGTCCTCTAAGGACGAAGTCAAACATACAGACCTGTTGTAGAGACGACAAACCTGTCTTTGCATCTCTACAATGACATTTTTTCTTAAAACATCATCAAACATCACAACAGAAAGAGCTTGATTCATTTTTAAAAAAATACTTTCTCTCACAATAATGCAAACTCAAAATATTCCCTAAAATTCATAACATTTGGGTTAGTTCTCTGGAGTCTCCCTGTGCTACAACTGACTGAACTCATGTTGTTTTGTTTCACTACAGAGAGGCGTTGCTTGCAGAGATGGGTGTGGCAATCCGTGAAGATGGAGGCACTTTGGGTGTATTTTCTCCTAAAAAGGTACAGCACATACACACATATACAGATGGTAGTGGTGGAGTGAATTGTGTCAAGCATTCTAATGCATCACCATTTTCTCACTTCTGTCTGTTTTCTTTCCGTGGGAACTGTCTGCTGTTCTGCTGTTCATCTCATCAGTGTTGTTTTTTTTTTTTTATCATTCTGTCATTCTTTCCACTCATTGTCTTTTGCTTCCTTCACAAACTCAGCTTAGGCATGAACAGCTATTTGATGAGCAGTTTGATTGTTTTTCCACTAAAGAGGTTTGTTTAATCGATAGTCAAAGAGCCTTTCCTGCTCTAGATTTTATAGAATTTCCTTACGTAACAATATAGTTTTCAATTGTAGTATAGTATACACTTGTGTTTACTGACCAGGAAATGTATGATAATCTTGTCATTCAAGCCGTGACAGTGTTAGAGAAACATCTCTTTTTAATCAGTGACTGTTCACTGCCAGCTGTCACTAGATCAGCTTTGGTTACAAAAAGATTCCCTGCCTTGAAATGAATCCCTCTGTCGGCATGTGGTTAACCCCCTCTTTGTTGTATGTTAGGCTTTTTTTCCCCTAAGTTCTCACCCTTTGGTCACGCATTGTTTTTCTCTCCTCTCACTGCTGCTCCATGGCTTATCATTTTTTTGCGAAGCCTTGTGATCTCTATGCAGACTTGAATGGGGTGTTTTCCCCTAAAAAGGTTGGTCGTCTGTAGGAGTGGCTTATTGATAGTTATGTGAAGTGTCAGACTCTATAGAAATGTCAGGGTCACTCTGAATGGCCACGAGATCATACAAAACTCTCAACTTACTAAGTAATGTTTTGATATGAATCTGTGACTGTCAAATAAACAATGTTTTATTTAAATAATCAGCTAGACCATACAAATGTATGCATAATAATCTTTTGACCTAACATGTCTCACGTATAGACCCCACATCTGGTTAACCTGAATGAGGATCCTCTCATGTCAGAATGTCTGCTCTACTACATCAAGGATGGAATTACAAGGTAATTCAAACTTCATTTTCAATCAAATACTACAGAGAATGTGGAGAAATAAACACATGCTATTTCTCTTTCCATTAGTTAGAGTGTGGTTTAATTTTATTTCAAAATCAGGCATAGACTTTGTAACACTTTCTGAGCATGGAGTGCTTTCCCAGTGTTGCCTTCTCATCAGTAATGGTTTCCATTTATACTCTTGTTATGGTTCTTACTGTAAATGACTGCCAACATAATGAGAAAGCATTCGTCTTAAAACGGTCTCTATGATGATTCCAGGGTGGGTCAGGCTGATGCTGAAAGACGCCAAGACATTGTTTTAAGTGGTGCTCATATCAAGGAAGAGCACTGCATCTTCCGCAGTGAAAGGAACGCCAACGGTGATGGTGAGACACTGTATTGTTTGTTTACCTGCCAGCACTTTCTCACTATATCTTGTGATAACAATAGAATTATAAATAGAGTTCTGGTTGTCATTTTATATATTTATGTATAAATATAGCTTAACCAATTAATACTTTTGTTTCCAGGCTCAAAGACTCTTGTTTTTAACCAAATCAAATGAACAATAACGACTTTAAAAGGTAGGTCACTAAATACTTTGCTCTGTGTCTTTTGTTTCGGCAGTTATTGTCCTGTTGGTGCCCTGTGAGGCTTCAGAAACCTATGTCAATGGCAAACGTGTTGAAGATGCCATCCAGCTTCGGTCAGGTAGGACAGTAATTTGATCAATTAAAATGTTTGTGTATATATATACGTGTATATATGCTGTTGTGAAAATTCTTGCACCTGAATCTCCAAAATTATTTTCAAGGAGATAAAAAGAGCAGTGGTTTTATAGCTCTGCTGAATCCACATTACCTTCATGCTCTGTTTTACCTCACTTTCTGTCAGGTAACCGTATCATTATGGGAAAGAACCATGTGTTCCGGTTCAACCACCCAGAACAGGCCCGAGCGGAAAGGGAGAAGACGCCATCTGCTGAAACTCCTGTGGAGCCTGTGGATTGGACTTTTGCTCAGAGAGAGCTTTTGGAGAAACAGGGCATTGACATGAAGCAGGAAATGGAGAAAAAGTATGTCTTTTTTTTTTTACCTCAGTAGTTTGGTGGTAAAAATCTTTATCACAATGGTGTAACTTTTTTTGTGTTCTCTTTCGTAGGCTCACTGAGATGGAAATCTTGTATAAGAAGGAAAAAGAAGAAGCAGACCAGCTTCTGGAGCAACAGCGATTGGTGAGTTCAACTAAAATTCTACCAAATCTACTGATCTGATCATCACAGCCATAGTAAGTTTTGCACATCTTTTTGATGACAGTTATATTATATTTTAAGTAGAATGTCCAACAGTGTTTATAAGCTATTTGAAATTGAATTTTAAAGGTACAGAATGCAGGAACTTTTATAAACATGGTGATCTTTGCTTCCTATCCGTTCCCTGCAGAGAAAGCTGCAAACGCTCATGATTTGGATGTCATGATGCTTAATTTTCGTTGCTTTAATTTACTAGCTGCTATGTATTACATATACACCTCATGACAGCATGCTAAGTAACAGGACAATGCATGGTGCTGCTGCCCTGTTAATTTTTGATGACGTTTTAATCAATGTAAAATGTTAAACTACATTCCAAGACACCACAAACCACTTCTTCCTTGCTGCAGCCCTGTGGAACAGGGCATTGTCCCTTCAATTTATTAGTACATTCCTGCATTCTTTACCTTTTTATTTTTTTACAAAGTAGGATTTGGAAGATTAGGTGATAAACCTGGCTAGTACTAATTCTCACTTTGTGCTCTGACTCTTTGAGATACTACGTGTGTCAGAGTCACACCTTTTCTTCTTGAGCATGTCTGTTCTTACTGCATGAAAGTTTTTCTGGTCTGAAACAGATGAGCGTTTAATCACTCCTTTTGGTGAATGCAAATATCTTTAGTGTTTTTTCTAAGTGAAAATTAGGTTGTAAAGCTTTCCTCCCTCCCAGTACCCGTTTCCCTGTTTCATGTTTCATATAGTGAAGTATCTGAATCTTGCAAAAACAGCAGTTTAGAAAGTTTTCTTTTTTATATTGAATTCAAATACCTCAGAACTCACGGACCAGTACTGATGCACTTAAACAATGCTGTTTTGCTCTGTTCAGGTCAATAGCATGTTTTCCTTACTTACTCTGTTTTAGTTCTTGACTAAGTTGCTATGTTTGCTGTTAAGCTGGTCAACACTGAAGTGTTTGTTGATTTGCTTTGATCAGACTCCTACTCTAGTTTTTCTTGCTCTGTTTTGTCCTGAGTTTCATTTCTTCAATGCAGTTGCTGATATGTACAATGCATTGTGATAACAACAACAAAAAATCTGCTGTAGTTTTGACAGATGTGGATAATGTGGTTTCTCATTGACTTCTTTGGCTACATTTTTGCTATTAGGCTGTTATAGCACAGTAAGGTAGGGCTGTGCATTTGTCACTGGTCATTAGTTATGATTTGATTCCAAAAATTTAAATAATGGCAATGATTTGATTTCATTCCACAGAGCGTCACAAAGACTTACATTTTTAATTTATTTTACTGTAGCCCAATATGGCAATATGCAAAAAAACAAACAAATAAAAACACCCTAACAGTGAAATAAAATGTAAACCCACATGGACATCCTCCTAGAACACTTATGTCCACATAAAGCTGCATCTTCAAATGGATTGATTTTAACACTCCCACAGTCGGGACATATGTCAACAAAAAAATAATTGAAATAAGTCACAGTTTGTTTGTTTTCTGTTGTTCATGTGCAGAGCTACAGCACACGCTCAGGCATTCATTACTAAGACCTGAACTGTCTGTAACCACTGGTTGTGATCTGTAATGTACTTTGTCTACACAAAATGAGAAACTACATCTTTACTTCCCCCAAACTAACATCTATTTGATAGTGAATTAACTCTTTCCTTCACTTCGGCCTCTCTTTTTTCTCCTGGCTTTCTGACCA